TGTGTGTGTGTGTGTGTGTGTGTGTATGTATGTATATGTATATGTATATACGTGTGTGTGTGTATGTATATACATGTATATATATATGCATGTTTTTATCCTGTCAGCATATTCTCTTATTCCAACAAGCCCATCACATGCACACATCTTAATTAGGTCTTTTACCAGTGTCTTAATTTGGGCATGTCCTGCATTCCTAATTTGGTCTGTCCATTAACTCTGGAAATTCCAAGGGCTCTGTAATTGTGCACTGTCCAGTTGGTCCCCTCTTATCACCTTTCATTTACATATCCACTCATGTCCTCTGTCTGATTTAGTCAGTTAGTGCCAGGTTCAGTTAATTTGAGCTGGTACCAAGGCCTACATTTCACACACCTATGTTGATAACAGCGGAACATAAGCTGCCTGTGAAAGTGAACTCAAGGCTAGTTGATAATGCAAACACAAGCAAAATGAAAAAAGGAAAGTTCAAATAATAATGAAGTTATACAAAAACTTAAGCAATGGTTAAATAAGACTGACTATAAAATAAAAGTTCAAATAATACTATAATGCACCATTCAAGCAGGTGCAACTTAAAGTTAAATGTGACAGCTACCTTAGCAGAGGGGATCCCAGCTGTGGGGGTGCCCCACCCCCTGCCACCGCTGGGAGATGCAGCTGCCACACCTTCCAACCCCAGAGGTGTGTGGAGCCCCTAGGGCTGGAAGATCATAGCAGCTGTGATTTCCTGGCTGAGGCTTCATGCACCCCTGGGGCTGGGAGACAGGAGTGGTGACTTGCATCTGGGACCCAGCATCTGTAGTTGTGGGATGCTGGGTTTTGGCAGCTGTGGGGGGCTGCTGGAAACCACAGTCAGTAGCTGGGCTGAGAGTCCTCTTAGCTGCAGGGCTCCTAGCCCCCACTGGACATGGTGCTGATGGGGATTCCAGCCACAGGGGAAACCATGCTACATACACAAAATAAAGCTCGATAGCAACTAGCTATGAAGTTAGTACACATTTTTGAGGTCTAACTTTATAGCTAGTTAGACATTTTTAATGGCATGAAAGTACTTTGCATGTGTATCTGGTGTCAAGGTAATTGCACAATTAACAGGTTAATTGCATAATTAACCAGTTATGTATGTACTACCTCTAACATGTAGAGGGAGCCTCAAAATCACCTATTGGTCTGCCAGAGGCAAGCAGTCCTTCTGGATAGTGTGTTTTGGCATTCCAGTTTCTATAGCCAAGTGTGCAAGGGTGATATGTAGTCAGGGTCACATCTGCTGCCTTTCATTCCTTAGATTGTATTTACATTTGGGTTGATTGCAAGGAAATCGGCCCTCATTTACAGTTGGGTTGATTGCAAGGGAAGTTCAGCAAGAGTCCAGACTCAGAGGGGATTTCAGGCTCGTATCTTGGAGATGTTGTAAGAAAACTTAACCACTTTGATACCACATCCCTGATATATCTATGAAAAGGATCACGTAGTGCAATTGCCTGTTTCAATGACTCAGGAGTCTGACCGCCTTATGAACCTACGCTGTTGTGTTTTTGATGCAAATCAGTTGCTGAGGTAGAATTGCTCATTGGAAATAAAGTGTCCGTGTTGGTCTGAAATTCCTGAAAGGCATCTCTCCCTGGGACTGTTTGTTATGTGCAAATTAAACAGTGGCAGGAGAAGATTGCTAGACTCCATGTCACGGCTTTCTCCTCACGTGAGAAACCAACCAAGAAGGCCCCACATTTCTTACACCACTCAGCAAAGGGGTAACTTTATCAAAACAATATATATTAATGCCCTCCAACATATAAATGTAACGTTGAATGACATGCTAAAACTCTTCAAACTCTGTTTTGTCTTTAACACTTATGAAAGGAGTTTTCTGAGCCTTCTAATAATAAAAAAAACAGCAAAAAAAATTAATGTCCATGTTCTTACATTTGGCGTACAGTATTCACATTGTTCTCCTCATGCTCTCACTTTCCCATTTATAATTAAGCATTTTCCAAGTATCCTGTCATTTTAATAATAAATTGATCTTTTTCTCCTTCAAAGAGAAGCCATAGAAATCAGACTTGGCTTTATATATTGGGTCAACTTGTAATCATAACAATATGAAAACAGAACAATATGGCATTACTGTATGGATCAGTTGACCCGTAACAGCCATGCAGGCTGGCATTATGGGGCTTGTACAAGGTCATCTGTTCTATGTGGTGGCAGCAGAGTGGCTGGCTGTCCTGCTGTGGGAAATGGCCATAATGGCTGGGGATCTCAGTGGTCTGCTCCACTTGTACAGTTAGGAGCTCAGAAGCCATAAGAACCTTGTAGGAAGTTGAGACTTCCAGATCCTCGCTCCACTACAGGGAGGAGGGAATTGGGAAGCCTTAGGACTATAGCTCTGAGGCAGTCCATGTGACTGACCACCATCGGAGCCACAGCCAACAGCCCCAAGGTATGCTGCCACGAAGCCATGTGGAGGTCTCTTGGTAACCTGCCTGTGGTCAAAGCCAATAGTTTAACATTTTCCAACAAAATGCAATAAAAACTTGTCAGACAGTTCCTATACAACAGCTCAATTTTCTCCTTCCCTCCTAACCCTCAGAGAATTAGAAAAAATATTGCACCTCTAAAACCAGAGCTGTTTGGATTCAGGACTTGAGGTCCTTTCCAGACTTACTTTTCTCTGATTCTACTATATTTGTGTACTTCACAATTGGATTCTGCACCTATAATTAATTAATTATTTGAAACATTTATAATAGATAAAGCATTTTCATTGGCAAACGTTACAGAATAAAAAAGTACACATGTATTTGAAGTGGGGAGGTAGCCAACAAAGCTGCTGAGAGGAAAAGGGAACATTTACACTGAAGAGAAACATTCCAGTGTAATTTTCTGCACTGATTCTTATTGCCTTCGCTGGGACCTGGAAATAATAATCAATGGCAAAATGTGGTCCCACTTACAAATTGGTTTAAAAGTATTGTAAAACTTGACAAGAAAAATGTCACTCTTTATAGAGAGCATATGCTTCATTATAAAACTCATTTATATAACATGTTTACTAATGCTTTGCAGGTGCTGCTTTAGTTTCAGTAGAAGATTCAGCTGAAGTTGACTTTCTGGCACACAACATAGAGCCTCTTGAAAGAAAATCATCAACTTTTTGGACAGGAATGTACAGGAATGTGGATGGTAATTTTTTAACTATTATTATTTGTTCATAGGTGAATAGCTTCCACAAAAGTACTTAAACCTGATGCATACTGCTTATTACACTCTGTCGAAAAACATGAAAAGATAAGGCAGGAAAGGTAACACTTTATGTATTTTACATACTGTTGAAGAAATATAAATCATGCGTATGACCAGCTGATTGATTTGTTATTGAGTGTTAACAAGTAAAATACTACTCAAGAAATGTAGAAGAGCTGTTTCTTAAGGGATAGGGCTTTGGTAGAAGAGGGCATAAAGTGACCATAAGGAGTCCAAACTATCAACTGGACTATGTAAGAGTTGAGGTTATGGCCCCATGTGGTTGGTATTATGTTGGGAGGAAACTGAGATGGAGGAACAGAAACCTTTACTTATCATACTCTCCTTTCAGTAAAGGTAGGCCAATCATTCCTTATCACCGAAAAAATTACTATAGAAGAGGGTTTGCAGTTGTAAGACACCCTGTGATGATGGAATATCTTACTGACAATATTGATACAGTAAATGGGTGCGTGGTAACTTTGTGGACTTTCACAAAATATTTATACAGAATTCTAATGAATCATCACCTGACCTAAAGCGGAACATAGGATTGCTGGCACAGAAAAACCTTCTAGAAAGTGTGGGGAGGGAGAGTATTATTTGAAATAGAAGGTGAGGAAAATTTAAAGTCCTGAGGAACACTCAAAGATCTCTGTTAATAACTCAAAGGATTGTTAATAATTAAAAAGATTTATCTCAGTATCCAGCAAAGGATATGGCAGAAATTACAATCAGACTGTGAAAGAAAGAATGAGATCATAGAAAGAAATTCAAGAATATTAACAGGGCATAAGACAAAGGTGGTGAATAAAAATATATTCACTAATAAAAATAAAAACGTGCAATGCAAGAGGTATAGAAGAAAAATAGAAGAGCAGTCAGAGCATTCTTGAGAATGGGAATAGATCTTAATATATAACTAGAGTTGGATTGCAGCCAGATTTTCTGCATTATGGAAAATCAAATGTGGACAAAGTAAATGTTAGAGAACTGTTATTTGCCGGCTCCCAGGATACTAGGACTACTGAAATGATCAGGAGGTAGAATTAAAATAAATAAGAGAAAGTGCTTAATTACACAGTGTGTAGTTCACTTGTGGAACTCATTGCTGCAGGAGGTTGTAGAAGCAGAAAGTATAACCAGGTTCAAAAAAAGAATTAGGCAGAATCATGGAGGACAGGTTCATTGACAGCTATTATAAAGAGCAGTTAGGAATGAGTCCTCTGACAGGCATAAACTAATGATGGTTGATACCAAGAAGGATATGACAGTTACTCTAGGCATGCCCCATTTATATACCCTGCCTCTAAGATATCTATTATTTGCTGCTATCAGAGACAGGACACTGGGTTAGATGGACTATTGATCGGCCCTGGTATGGCACTTCTTACATTAAAAAAATCTCCAGTTTCAAAATTTCTGCCACTGCAGATGGAATGAAACAAATATAACATTTTCCATGGAATGAAATTCTGAAATATTCTTGTTGTGCATCATTAAAAAGGTTTTGTCTCTAACTTATTAATTAAAAAAAGCATTTAATTTCATTTTATAATTTTTTTACAGCAAAAATATTCAAATTTTTCAGTTCTGAAAATGCTACAAAGTGATACTTGAACATTTTTTAAACTATTCACAACACTTCACAGTGTTTGGCTTTCAGTTAAAACAGCACTTTCCATTAAAATATTTAGGAAACTGATTCTGTTACCTATACATATACATATAACTGAATCATGGCAAAATGACAAAAAATCAATGGAATACTACATCTAAATATATTTGGCTGATAAACAATACAGGGAAGGTAGATTTATACGATTCAAAGATGAAACTCCCCTCCCCCCTTTAACACGGTGGGAGAGGAAGCCCCTCACCTTAGAATCAAGCATAAGCAGGGGCTGGAAAGGGGTTAGAGGTGGAGATGGAGCTGCAGCTGTTGCCTGCCCCCTGCTGCCACTGCATGCCCAACCACCCTTCTACCACAGCCCCCAGTCTCTCCCCTGCACGCTGCTTCTTCCTCTTTCTCCCTCTGTAGCTAATGAATATTCTATGGACTTGAATAAGATAAAATTTTAGAATGGAGATGACTATAGAATCTACATATATTATTATAAATATATAAATATAGGCTTATACTAGTATAGTAGTCTTCTTATCAGCTGGAATCTATAGATAGATAAATAGATAGATATATTCCAGCTGATAAGACTGACTGTCTATCTATCTATCTATCTATCTATCTATCTATCTATCTATCTATCTACTTCTTATTAGCTGGAGATATATATATTTCTATTGCATACTTCTTATCAGCTTCTATTTTATTTCAAACTTCTTATCAGCTGGAGATATAGCTATAGATATAAAATGTGTGTGTGTATGTATATATGTATAATTGTACTAATATGCTAGTATAATTGGATTAATGTGGGAGTGTAAAATTCATTTGGCCCCGCAGTATGGATGAGTGTTGTGGGACCGGTCCACAGGCTGGATATGAATGACATGTGGACAGGGCCACAGAGTTCCCACCCCCTCCCCTCAATCATGGGAGGTCCAGTGCATACAACACCTACCCCAGTTGATCTGGGACATCTACCACTTGTGGCATCCTCTCTGGCTGTTCCAGGACCCATGCTGCATGTGTGCACCCACCCTGGAGTGTTTGTGGGGAGGGGTGCTGCTTGCAATGCAGGTCTCAAAGCAGCCAGAGCAGGCACTGCATGTGGCATGCATCCTGCAGTAGTTAGGGCAGGTGCCATGGGCAGTATGTATTACGGAGCAGCTGGAAAGGAGCACTGCATGCAGTACATGTCCTGAAGTGGCAGCAGGTGCATGGGGTCAGTCTGACACATGCTGTGTGTGGGTCTACTCCAGACCCAAGGGCAACCCCAGGGGCCAGAAAATGGGTGCTGTGGGCTGGACCCTCTGGTGCGCTATGTCTTTGAAACCCCTGTGTTGCTCAACTCTTGGCCAGAAAAAAGCAAAGTGTTCCATGTTGTAGGAGACCAGTGTATCTTGGTGAATAATGGGTTGTAAATATGTCCATTGCCAATGGTGAGCATTGGAACTGCTTATGAGTCAAGTAACTGATTATGGAAGTAGTTACTTGACCTCTTAAACCATTATTTATCAAAGTGACTAGGTATTTGGCACAGGGCCTGGTTCATTAAGTATCTCTGGTTACCTTTAAATTGAGTCTACTGTAGAAGTAAATTTTATATCTTCAGGGATGTAGTTATATCAAAATGTAATGCAGTGGACACAGAGTAGGGGAGAGAATCTCAAAGAAATGGAGAAGCTATAAAATCAAATGAAATATTTACAATCAACATGGAAGTTTTTTAAGCATAACTTTAGTCACGAGAGACCCATGGATCCTTAAGCAATCAAACAAACAAAAGAAATAGGAAGACATATGAACACGAAGTTCCCGAATTTTAAAATAACAAAAGGTTTATTAAAATAGACATCTTTCCAGAAGTGGAAATAGAAGCCAGAAAGACCAAACCTATATCAAATACAGTAAATAACGGAGACAAAGGAGCTTATTTAGTATTTGTGAAAAAATAACCAAATCCAAAACACAGCTGCAAATGACAAAGACATAGGACACTTTAAAAAAGATAAATTATTTCTTTCCATTGGTTATCATCACAGTTGTCATGTTAAATAAAGCAAGAATACACATGGAAGGTATCGTGGGGGGAAGTATGAAGCCAGGGTATTTTGGAGATATGAGACCTTTGGATGTCTAATTCAGCTTTCTGCTATTTTTCAAAATGTAGAGCAGTGATTCTCAACCAAAGTGCCACTGTGTTGCGTTCCTTTCTAGGTGCTGTGGGGTGCCACACAATGTTAGTACTGTTATGTTTACAAGCATGATTCACAAGATAAACCAAGAGATTTCAGATAAAAATCCATAGTTGTGGCCCTTGAGCTCGCTGCAACAGAAAAACTGCTCTATTTTTTTCTGTACTCAAAAAGGAATTAAAACTAGCTGCTGGCATTTTCTGAGGGATGCTTCAAGTCTATTCTAGGGTGCCTTGAGTTTTTAAAAAGGTTGATAATTACTGAATTAGAGAAACCTAGA